GGGGGGGGGGGGGGGGGGGGGGGATTTTCCCTCACTTCCTGTTAGGATGGGAAGGGAAATCTCTCCAATGGGGACACAGATTAAAAAACACTTCTAGTGAAGTAGGGAAGGTTTTGAACTTTCAACTACATTTTTATTGAATCCGTACCTTCCTGTTCCACCACCAGGGAATGAAGGAAACAAACAAAAATAAAAACTTATTTCATTTTTTTTTAAAATACTGTTTTCACCATTTTTCCTCCCATCTTAGGGCTGCTGATCTCCTGTAGCCTCTTCCAGCCACTTCCTTGTCTGCATGCACTCGCTCCAGCATCAGCTGCACATGATTGCTCTGGATTTGATTCCTGACCGTGACAAATGTGGACCATGCCTACGCAATGTGAGTGAGGGTGACAACGCAAGAGTGCACAGCAGAGACAGGAATAGAACGTTGTCATCGTATAACAGGAAGTGCCTGAACAAGGACTCTGGTGGCAGCATCACCAGGGATTATATTGTGCCCAAACTGATGGTGCCAAAGAAAACCTGTATAATTATTAGTATTTTAATAAAATCTGTAGATTTACAGGCTGCTGTAAACAAATCAAGTAGAGTCCTGTCCTGTATTAAGAAGGGAATGTATTGCAGAGACAAGTCATTTTGTCACTGTACGGATCACTGGTTCACACTCATCTGGAGTATGCGGTCCAGTTTTGGTCACCAGTCCACAGAAAGGACGTCCTTGAGCTGGAAAAAGTCCAGCGGAGGGCAATCAAACTAATTAGGGGTATGGAGGACCAGAGCTACGAGACGAGGCTACTAAATTTAAACACGTTCTCGTTGGAAGTAAGGAGATAAGGGGGGATATGATTTTCATGTACAAAATGTTCAATGGTGATAGTAACATTATCAACAAACTCTTTACGGTTAACTCCACAACAAAGACTAGGAACTCGATGCCTCATGCAGTGATTTCAAGAGTGTGGAATTGTTCAAGAAGCTTTTCCTTAGGGACCATTATATACAGGGGTACAAGTACTCCTAAGAAGATCATACAGGGTTTCATACACACGCACACATCAGCAGAACCATATACATACACGCAATAGGTTGGACTTGATGGACTTATGTCTTTATTCAACCTCAAACGTAGGATATTAAACCAGCACATTACAGCTTGTAGATGAGATTTTGGTCACTGGATTCAGATCTACTTTAAGACGTGTTCTTTGCATTTCTGACGTGCTTTCTAGCTGCATGCCCCTGCCATAGAGATGTGTGATGGTGCATAGAAAATCGTTGTGAAGAGATGTCACCAGCACTCCAAATATGACAAAATACGTCAAAGTTTAGTGAATCTTCGTTTTTATTTTTTAGAAGTCACTCAAAGTGGAATCAGGGGACCCTGTGCGGCCCTGAAAGCGCTGGATTCCACTTTGAGTGACTTCTAAAAAATAAAAACGAAGATTCACTAAACTTTGACGTATTTTGTCATATTTGGAGCGCTGGTGACATCTCTTCACAACGATCTTTACTTGATGCGGCGCCATCCGCAGTCATTGCGAGCACCCATTTTTTTTTATGGGAAGTCCGGTAAGGTGTGCTACAGGTCCTTGGACATTAGTGCATAGAAAATGACACAAAGAACACAAAGGTATAAGAATTGCTCCAGAAGGTTTATTTTTTGTCTCGTCACATATTGTGGTCAGCAGCGCCACCCAGTGACAGCCTGAGGAACTGCAGGATCTCCAATTTTATCTACTGTATGTGGCGGTCACAAGAGAAGTCTGAAAATGTTAGTTGCCTGGCTGTCTGACAAGCACTTTGTTGCAGAGCCAGAGTAAGCGTGCTGTGCAAAAGTGTCAGGATTCCTAATCTTCAAAGTATACATATGAAAAAAAAATGTTTTGGGTAAAATTTGAGAATTGAGGAAATATACAATTTAAAGTCCAACTCCATGAGATTTTTTTTAAAGTTTCACGCTTGTCTGTGACACCATTAGGAAAATTTCACCTCACTTCCTGTCCCTATGACAACTGAACAGGAATTGAAGTAAACTGAAATCCAATGAAGGAAAGCAAGCGGGCCAAGGACAGGGAAGGAAAGTGCTTGATGATTTTGGACGTCCTTCAGCCAGGAAATGAGGCCAGGAAAGTGTGCAGAGACATCAGAGGAAGCCATTTCAGTCCAGGAGAGGAGCCGGTACAACTGTGCAAGACGGAAGACCAGCGTTCAGCTATAAATGTATATTGTTCTAACAAATAGAAGCTGAAACATCTGACAACTCACATTTGCTTAATGAGTTTGATGGAGTTTTAATAGAGAAGCAAAGCATTGTGGGAAAATGAGTTTTTCCACTCCCTACACTGTAGTTTCCACTGTACACAGCAGTCTGGCGGCCATTTAAAAAAAAACACGTGGAGACGGAGAGGACAACTAAAATAAAATAAAAAAGGAAGTTTTTGTGTTTATA